CATCCCTTATTCTATTTAACCTCTGTGATGCACATGACTGCTATCGACTCCCCTCTTAAAACTTTTTTCTTCTCTCTTGGTGCGACAGGCTGAATCAATGACCCCAATCTGTCACGCCTCTCTGGATACACATTCTTTGGTAGTAGGGCTCTCGCAAGCCGATTCTGAGCTTAGTCATGTGACTTGCTTTGGTCAGAGTTAAGAACAAACTCAATGGAGCAGAGCTTGGAAAAAGTCATTAAATTCTGCTCCCCTCTTCATCCCTGCCAGTATTATGAGACTATGTATAGGCGAGTATACTAGGAAGATAACAGAGACAAACGGAAGAGAAATGAGTCATCCTTGCCAAGGCCAGCCTACACCAGCCGGCCCCTGGTCAACCTACTAGCTGTCTGTAGACATATGAGTGACCTCTGCCAAGACCAGCAGACTTGTCCTGCTCACCTGTAGACTCATGAGAAAAAATAAATGGCTACTGTTTCAAACCATTAACTTTGGGGGTGGTTTGTTATGTAGCAATAGGTACACCTGGCTTCAAAGTGTCTTTTTCCTGGTTTTCCTCTCATTGGACCACTGACCCCACTTACCCTCTTCCATTGTCTTTGCCAACTCAACTTCTACCTACCCCTTAAACAGTGATGTAAAACCCTTAGCCTTCTTGTCTTCTCATTCACACACAATTTGGGTCATCTCATCCACGCGTTTCAATTGCCGTGCCTCTACAGATGACTCTATAGCTGTAATATAGTCCAGATCTGTCATTTATTGACATCTATCACATCTCATGTTTATAGAGCATCCGCTTGCTTGTTAGCGTAGTTGCTGAAAAGATGGAAATAAAGAACAGTTCTGCCTAATGAGGCTCAGTGTCTAGTGAAGAGACAACTGAGTAAACACTTGCAATACACTGAGATAAATGCCAATGAAAAACAAAAGGGTATTTAGCTCAAAATGAGACAGCCACAGAAGGCTTCTGGAGGGGGCTGCACCTGAACAAACTTTGGTACTTAGGATGTGTACGTATTTGATCAAGGGAGGGAGCACTT